GCATGATGTTGGGTGCCTGTAATCCTAGCTACTGGGGAGGCTGAGGCAGGAGAATTGCTTAAACCCAGGAGGCAGAGGTTGCAGTGAGCTGAGATTGTGCCATTTCACTCCAACCTGGGCAACAAAGCAAGACTCCACCTCAAAAAAAAAAAAAAAAAAAAAAAACAAATTAGGGATGCTGTCAATTATGAATTAAGTCCTAGCTATTTTGGACTGATTGTTACAGGGGTTATTGTTTGGCTTCCTGGACTGTTTGCTAGAGATAGTGGTCTGACTTCCTACAAGTCTAATTTGTAGATTGCAGGTTGATTTTCTAGGCTGGCTACTGTAGACAATGGGTTAGTTTCCTGGGCTAGTTGCTGCAGATTGTGGGGCAGAATTCTATTTTTATATATAGCCTGGCTATTGTCTATTTATATAGACTATTTCAACTGAGTTGGACAACTTTCATTCTTCAATTTTCTGGAACATCTTATAAAAGGCAGATATTCTTCCTTGAAAATTTGATAAGATTCCTCTGAAAAACTGGCCCAAATTCTGGGCAGAGGGGGTTCTTACTTACCCTTTGAGGTTTTACTCATTATTCTATTGAAATAGTCTACTTATTCTTCCACCAATTGTTGCCCTTTATATTTTTCCAGAAATGTATCTGGTTCATCTAAGTTAACATATTTATTAGAAAACAGTCATAATAGCATTTTATAATTCTTTTAATCTCTAGGTCTATAGGTCCTTTTAAATTATATATGTTGTATATTTGTGTCTTCTTTCTTTTCTTGACCAGTTTTGCCAGAAGTCTACCTTCTTAATATTTTTCAAACAGCCAAATATGTTTTGTTAATTAATATCCTGAAGTGCTTTGTGTTAGCTTGTTGGTTTCTATTCCACTAATTTCTATTTCCTTCCTTCTTGTTTGAGTTTGTATTGCTGCTATATTTTTTAATTTCTTGAGATAATTCCTAATTCATTTGTTTTCAGTTTTCCTTGGATTATTTATTTATTTTTCAGACAACAGTGGTTCATGAGGTTTTTTTTTAAGAAATGTATTTAAATTTGCTGTATTAGTCTGTTCTCCTGCTGCTAATAAAGACATATCTGAGACTGGGTAATTTATAAAGGAAAAGAGGTCTAATGGACTCACAGTTTCACATGACTAGAGGAGATCCACAATCATGGCAGAAGGTGAATGAAGAGCAAAGTCATCTATTAAATGGAAGCAGGCAAGAGAATTTGTGCAGGGGAACTCCCATGTCTAAAACCATCAGATCTCATGAGACTTATTCACTATTGTGAGAACAGTGTGGGGAAACCACCACCATGATCAAATTATCTCCACCTGGCCCTGCTCTTGATATATGGGGATTATGAAAATTCAAGATGAGATTTGGGTGGGGAAACATACCCAAACCATATCAAGTTATAAATGTCTTTCTAAATTCTGCTTTAATTCGGTGCCCTAAATTTTGTCACTCTCACAGGCAGAATAGCCACATAGAGAAAACCATTTTTCTCACTGCATAAGGTCTGGATGAGCTGGTGAGAAGAGCTCTCTGCAAAAGGAAGAAATGTTTCTTCTTTGCAGAAAAGGACCTCTAGCTCCCTCCTTATAGGCTCTCAGGGTTGTGACTGTCCAAAGCAGGTGCCTCTGTCTGATTCAAAGAGAGATCCCATATGGGGTAGTGAGAGTCCTAAGGTGGGGCTGTTGCTCAGCCCTAAGCATTTTATTTGTCTTATGATTTTGTTAACCTAGGAGTTACTTAGTAGTATTTTATTCAGTTTCCATGTGTCTGGGATTTTGTTTGAGTAATATACTAGAGTAGATAGGGGCAAATAGACCAATGGGACTGAGTACACACGTGAGAAATGCTGTGCACCCTTGCACCTCTGGGCTTTTGAGATGTAAGACAGGTGGTGCCAAACATTGATGGAGAAAAACACAAGCGCTTTAGGAAGTGATATGAAAAGAATTGGCTCACTATTTAAGGAAGAACAAAGCTGGATTTGCTCCCTTATCTCCTATGCGAAGATGAATGTCTGGTATAAAAGAAAGAAGCTGAAACCTAACTGAAGAAAATACAGGCATTTATCATTGTGAGTTTCAAGTGGGGAGAGATATTCACAAGGCTGAAAACATATAAACCACATAGCAAAATGTTGATGGGTCTGACTATATCAAAATTAATTTATTTCAGCAGAAAAAGTTAGCAGGAGCTAACAGAGTAGAAGATATATCCTCATCTATCTATACGAGGACTGTCCTAAGAACACAAGTAAATCAGCATCAATGATCTCAAAAACAGCGCTAAGAAAAGTAGAAAAAAATAGAATAGTTTTCCCTTATCCACAGTTTCATGCTTTCCACTATTCCAGTTACCACAGCCCAAAAATATTCCATGGAAAAGTCAAGAAATAAGCAATTCATAAGTTTTTCATTGAATATGTTGAGTAGCATGATGAAACCCTGTACCGCCCTGCTCTCTCCTGGGACATGAATCATCCCTTTGTTCAGCCTGCCCATGCTTTTCTACATTACCCACTCGTCATTCACCTCGTAGCCCTCTAGGCTATCAGATCAAGAAAACATAAGAGCGAACAAACAAAAAAACATAGTATATATAGGGTTTGGGACTATCTGAGATTTCGGGTATCCACAGGAGGTCTTGGAACATATCGCCCAGAGACAATGGGGGTCTATTGTATTAATATTAAAGGCAGAACCTCCCTTTGTTAGACAAGCTGAGTTTGGATAAATTTATGCGAGAAACAATATCACACATCATTCATATAAATTAGAAACACATATATGTACAAAGCTACATGTTTTACAAGAACACATGGATATTTAAGGTCACACTTAAACACACTAAAGCTGGTGTGCATGGGGATAGGAAAAAGGGAATAGAGACTAAGAAAGAAGGGAAAAAAGAAAATGAGACTTACACCTCAGCTCAGAGCATAGGGCCATCATTAGTCTAGCCATGAGTAACTCAGCTCTCAGCAGAAAAAACAATTTACATCAGAAAACATTTGTAAAATGTCTGTCTAGTACCAACTCATGCTAATCATATAGTTATGTTAGTTGCTTTTCTACACTACTGTGACAATCCATGTCGGATTGTGCAACCTAGCCTAGATCTGTTATTTTTTAAAAAAATAAGCAAAAGCTTTCAACCTTACCAATTAGAACTTCCTTGTTATTAAAAATAAAATGGTTGAGCAAAATGCTGAATTGAGTATTTGAAATGAGACAGGCGTCATCTGGCTAATTTCTTTTAAAGACTTCTCTCCCCTAATAAAGAATGGAGTGAACAATTGGTTGTATTTGAGCTTTTAATTAGGCCCAATATAATATGCTTACAAGTATTTTGCCTGCCAGGCATCGCAAAAATCACTCTGCTGATTTTACAAGAATTTAATACATGGGAACACAAGTTGGCTGGGATTAAATAAGTGATTATCTTGCTAAGTGAGAATAACCAAAAAATCAAGGAGAAACACAGCTTTACTGGAAAGGGTGGGAGGAAAGGAGGCGGGTAGGAAGCCACACTGGAGATGAGTTTCAGAAGTAAAGAGTAATTTGCTCAGGGGCAGGTCCTGGTTTTGTCGGGCCTGCCACCTGCCTTTTTGGTGGAGTGGGGGTGGGGGAGTGAAAGATTTAAGAAACAGAATATTAAAATATGAATATGAAACCAGTGATGATTATATTTATATCAAATGAGAAAAAAAGTCTCAATAAACTACAAATTTTAAAAGATGATAGATATGTTAAATATAACCAAATCTAGACAAATCTCGTAATATTTCTTAATGACTTGCCTGACCATCTCTACAAGATTGGTTTTCTACATATTTTTTGGCTGTATAACCTTTATAGCCTTTTTCCATGACATCAATTTTGTAAGAGACTACAAAGGCAAGCAATCTTTTCCCTAGCATGGATTATTAAAATGTATTTTTCATTACTTTTTTTTTTTTTGAGATAGAGTCTCGCTCTGTCACCCAGGCTGGAGTGCCGTGGCACAGTCTCAGCTCACTGCAGCCTCTGCCTCCCAGGTTCAAGCCATTCTCCTTCCTCAGCCTCCCAAGTAGCTGGGACTACAGGTACACACTACCATAACTGGCTAATTTTTGTATTTTTAGTAGAGATCAGAGTTTCACCATGTTGGCCAGGCTGGTCTCCAACTCCTGACCTCAGGTGATCCACCCACCTTGGCCTCCCAAAGTGCTGGGATTACAGGCATGAGCCACCATGCCCATCCTTATTACTCTTTCTTTTTAAATTTTATTTTTTTGTATTTTGTAAAAACAGGGTCTTGCTATATTGCCCATGTTGGTCTCAAACTCCTGGCCTCAAGCAATCCTCCCACTTTGTCCTCCCAAAGTTCATGCCAGTGGGATGAACACCAAAGTTTATGCCAGGCATGAACACCACATTTGGCATAAAATTTATTATGAATAATCAGATTCATAAAATATATGATTTCACACATAGATGTACTCACTTTTCTAGAACTGCTACAGGTTTGTGCCCTAAATATAAAAATTCTGATAAAATCCATTTCATATGATTCATTTCTAACTGTATTTGTTGCATTATTGAGTAGATTCTTGACAGGAAAGAACTTCTGCATGAATCAGATGCTGATGAGAACTGAGTGCCCTGCTTACCACTGTAAGCAATTTTTTAAAAATATATTTTATTGCACTTTAGGTTCTGGGGTACATGTGCAAAACATGCAGGATTGGTGCATAGGTACATACATGACAATGTGGTTTGCTGCCTCCATCCCCCCATCACCTATATCTGGCATTTCTCCCCATGTTATCCCTCCCCAGCCTCCTTACCCCCCGCTGTCCCTCCTCTATTCCCCCCCAACAGACCCCAGTATGTGATGCTCCCCTTCCTGTGTCCATGTGTTCTCATTGTTCAGCACCTGCCTATGAGTGAGAACATGCAGTGTTTGTTTTTCTTTCTTTTTTTTTTTTTTTAAATAATTCAGTCTCCATAGAGACTGTCAAAAATTGCCAATGCCGACTATATTTCAAATCGCCATGGCGGGGTATTGGGAAGTTTTCAATTAGTAATAATCGTGCCTCGGATAAACCTCATTGGCTACAATACTGCCACTATGCAAAGCTTTTTGTTTTTTGTTTTTTGGGTTTTTTTAATATGTGGTGTTTGTTTTTCTGTTTTTGTGCCAGTCTGCTGAGAATGATGGTTTCCAAATTCCTCCATGTCCCTAAAAAGAACACGAACTCATCGTTTTTTATGGCTGCATAGTATTCCATGGTGTATATGTGCCACATTTCCCTTGTCCAGTCTATCATCGATGGGCATGTGGGTTGGCTCCAGGTCTTTGCTATTCTAAACAGTGCTGCAATGGACATTAGTGTGCATGTGTCTTTACAATAGAATGATTTATAATCCTTTGGATATATACAGGTATTGATCGACTTACCACCTATGCAACTTACGACCATTGGACTTTACGACCACAATCGCCAGCCACGACTGCTCCGCGTCTGGCAGCGCAAACGTTGCCCAGCTGGGCGTACGACAGTGCAGACCAGCTTCTGACAGCACTACCATCTCCGCGTGCACCATTTCAACTGTACAGATAGCCTACTCAACTTACGACCAAATTGTGTTATGACTGGTCCGCGGTCCCAACTGTGGTCATAAGTTGAGCACTAGCTGTATCCAGTAACGGGATTGCTGGGTCAAATGGAATTTCTATTTCTAGGTCCTTGAGGAATCGCCACACTCTTCCACAATGGTTGAACTAATTTACACTCCCACCAACAGTGCAAAAGTGTTCCTATTTCTCCACATCCTCTCCAGCATCTGTTGTCTCCAGATTTTTTAATGATTGCCATTCTAATTGGTGTGAGGTGGTATCTCGATGTGGTTTTGATTTGCATTTCTCTAATGACCAGTGATGATGAGCATTTTTTCATGTTTGTTGGCCTCATATATGTCTTCTTTTGAAAAATGTCTGTTTATATCCTTTGCCCACTTTTGAATGGGTTTATTTCTTGTAAATCTGTTTCAGTTCTTTGTAGATTCTGGATATTAGCCCTTTGTCAGATGGGTAGACTACAAAAATTTTTTCCCATTCTGTTGGTTGCTGGTTCACTCTAATGATTGTTTATTTGCTGTACTGAAGCTCTGGAGTTTAATTAGGTCCCATTTGTCTTTTTTGGCTTTTGTTGCCAATGCTTTTGGTGTTTTAGTCATAAGTCCTTGCCTGTGCCTGTGTCCTGAATGGTTTTGCCTAGGTTTTCTTCTAGGGATTTTATGGTGTTAGGCCTTATGTTTAAGTCTTTAATCCATAAATGGTGTTGAGAAGGCAGTTTTAACCAACGCGCAGTTTCAATATCCAACAGCAGGTCCTCAAATAACACCATTTCATTCAACGTTGCTTCCATATAATGTTGAGAGAAAAAAAAAAAAAAACGGATTTCTGGCTGGGACCACTGCCTATGCAGAGTTGCACATCTCCCCACGTCTGTGTGGGTTTTCTTTGGACACACTACTTCCCGCCCCCACATCCCGAAGCTGTGCACACTGGGTTAACTGGCATCTACATCGTCCCAGGTCAAGTGAGTGTCAGGGGTAGTGAGTTGCCCTGCTGTGGGATGGCCTGTCCAGTGCTGGTTCCCTCCTTGTAACCTACCCTCCTGGGACCAGCTGCAGCCACCTGCAACCCAGAGCTGGAATAATTAGGTAAATAATTATTTCACTTGTTTTATTCATATTTTTAAATGCATATATAGCTCACATTTATTTCAGTGTTAAATATTAGAAGTGTTTTGGGATTTTTGTTGTTTTGGTTTTTTTTGTTTTGTTTTTAAATAAAGACGGGGTTTCACCATGTTGATCAGGCTGGTCTTGAACTCCTGACCTCAGGTGATCCGCCCACCTTGGCCTCCAAAGTGCTTGGATTACAGGTGTGAGCCACCACGCCCAGCTGTTGTTGTTTTTTGTTTTGAGACAGAGTCTCACTTTGTCACCCAGGCTGGAGTGCAGTGTCGCAATCTCGCCTCCCGGGTTCAAGGGATTCTCCTGCCTCAGCCTCCCGAGTAACTGGGATCACAGGTGTGTACAGGTGATCCCCCTTTTAGTACAGGTGGGGTTTCACCATGTTGGTCAGGCTGGTCTCAAACTCCTGCCCCCATGATCTGCCTGCCTCTGTCTCCCAAAGTGCTGGGATTACAGGCGTGAGCCACCACGCCAGGCCCTTCCCCTGCCCCTAGACGGAGTCTCACTCTGTCACCAGATTAGAGTACAGTGGTGCAATCTTGGCTCACTGCAACCTCCGCCTTCTGTGTTCAAGCCATTCTCCTGCCTCAGCCTCTTCAGTAGCTGGGACTATAGGCGCATGCCACCATGCCCAGCTAATTTTTATATTTTTAGTAGAGATGGGATTTCACCATGTTGGCCAGGATGGTCTCAATCCCGCCTCAGGCTTCCAAAGTGCTGTGATTACAGGCGTAAACCACCAGCAGCCGGCCGTGTTTTGGTCTTTATTTAGAAGTTTGATGATGTTCTTCTGACCAGAAATAGAACTTAATTCGTATTTTTATCTATTAACCTATGGGAAAATTGGTTTAATTATAGATCATTTCACTGAAGTTCACAGTTTCCAAGAACCTATTGATGACATTAGGTGAGGACTTGCTGTACTTCCATAGATCTCACAAACCCGAGTGGCAAGGGAACACAGCACGGGGGCTCGTCCCAGGACGTGGAAAGCCCCAAAGCTGCAGGTGCATTAGCTTCACAGTAAATCCACCTCTAACCCTAGTGGCCGGCGAACCTGACTGATAATAAAACTCATCTGCAGGCCCTATTAGAAAATACGACCTCAAGGTAACACCTCTGCAGATTTTGCTTCGATAGGGAAAAGGGAAGCTTTTAGAAGCTCTTATAAGAGGGATGGGTAAGGTGTGCGTGGAAGTGGGAGGGAGGAGAGGACAGGTGGAACTTACTGAGCCTTCTAAAATCATTCCTTCAGAGCTGGTCCTGGCAACCTGTGAACTGACCATATTTTTTTTTTTTTTTTTGAGTTGGAGTCTCGCTCTGTCTCAGGTTGGAGTGCAATGGCACAATTTCGGCTCAATGCAACCTCCACTTCTTGGGTTCCAGCAATTATCCTGCCTCAGCCTCCCCAATAGCTGGGACTACAGGTACATGTGCCACCATGCCTGGCTAATTTTTTATATTTTTAGCAGAGATGGGGTTTCGTCATGTTGGCCAGGCTGGTCTCGAATTCCTGACCCCAAGTTATCTGCCTGCCTTGGCTTCCCAAAATGCTGGGATTACAGGCATGAGTCACAGCTTGTGGCCCGTCCATCATCTTTTAAAGCAAGCTTGTCCAACCTGTGGCCCGCAGGCCTAATGCAGCCCAGGACGGCTTTGAATGTGGCTTAACACAAATTTGTAAATTTTCTTAAAACATGAGATGTTTTTGCTTTTTTTTTTTTTTTTTTTTAGCTGATCAGCTTTTGTTAGTGTCAGTGTATCATGTGTGGCATAAGATAATTCTTCTTCCAATGTGGCCCAGGGAAGCCAAAAAATTGAGCACCACTGTTTTAAAGTCTCCTGGTATTTCAAGAAAGAATGGCCAGGGCCAACTTCTCCAGATTGCTATTGCTGCCCTCCATTACAAACACACATATCGCGCCTCTCCCTTTGCACCTCTATTCTGTTTTAAAATAAGGGACACACAACATATACACACATACCTGTGTCTTCCTCTAAATTACTATCATCAGGGAAAAAATTAAATCCGTAGCTGGACCTGTCGATTGGAATCTGGAACTGGTCACTTGGAAACTGGTTGGTCTTCTCCTTGGGTTCTAGAATGGAGGCAATTATGCATACTTTCACTCACCCCCCATGCAGACAGTTTAGGTGAGAAATTAAATCAACGCACTCCACCTGGAGTTCAAAGGCGGCTCCTTAAATCTTAAGGAGAACTTTCCATTTAAAAAATAAGTATTTCTGCACAGCCAGAGAGTAAAAGACTAGAGATTCCATTTGAATAATCAAATGCTAACTAAATAATATTTTTAAAGCAATAGCAACCCTTGTCATTAAATCTTTTTTTTTTTTTTTTTTTTGAGATGGAGTCTTGCTTTGTTGCCCAGGCTGGAGTGCAGGGGCGTGGTCTCAGCTCACCGCAACCTCCACCTCCCGAGTTCAAGCGATTCTCCTGTTTCAGCCTCTCAAGTAGCTTAGAGGCTAATTTTTTGTATTTTTAGTTGAGATGGGTTTTCGCCACATTGGCCAAGCTGTTCTCGAACTCCTGACCTTAGGTGATCCACCTACCTCAGCCTCCCAAAGTGCTGGGATTACAGGCGCGAGCCAGCACGCCCAGCCCCTTGTCATTTAAACTGTCTCTCTTTTTGACATCTTTGTGCCTAAGTGTACAGGCCTCAGAACAGATCGCCTTTGTCCACGTTCCTGTTTCACTCCTTGCCATTATCTTCCCTGGCCAGCTATTTAAGCTCTCTGAGCTTCAGTTACCTGGTCTGTGAAACAGGAGCACTTCATAACTAGCTGATAGGGCTTTTAGGATTCGATGAAATCACATTGGTAAATGCCTAGTGCAACATTTGGAATTTGCTCAACAAATCACGGTTGATATTTTCACTATGTTACTACTATTTGTACTTTCAGAATGAATGAGGACATGCAAATGAGAAGACAGCCCAGGATGGTGGAGGCTACAGGACATTCTCAAACACTGCAAACAGGAAGACTGACAAAGATCGTTTAGGAAGTAATTTGATAGTGTTTCTCAAAACTTAATCCATACATATCTAATTTCTAGGAACCTTTTGCAGACGGATCCAAACTAATTTGACCTGGCAACAACTGTCAGGTTCTCTTGGTAAAATTCAACCGACTCCAGTGACTAGAGGTAGATGATACAACCTTAACACTAAGAGCCACACATCTCAACTGTGGGCTTCTGATTAGGCTACTCAAGTACTAACTGCCCCAAGGGCATAGAGATGAAAGATAAACTATCAGACACACTACTAATGCTCATGGTGGATATCATGAATTGGATACCTCTTCCTTCCTTCCTTGTTTCCTTCCTTCCTTCCTTCCTTCCTTCCTTCCTTCC